CGAACGATTTCCTTCATAGCTTCTGTTAAGACGTCACGCCGACTATCGATAAAAATTTTTCTCGAGGAGTACAGTTTGCAGAATTTGGGAGTGACCGAGTTGAGGGACGTGTACGTGGGTTGCTCATTTAATGATGGAGTACGATGAACTGAAAGCGGAGGTATCGCGTTTGACCAATGCGCTTGAAGAAGCCTCTGCCGATAAAATCAAGGTAATGCGTCCATCTTCATCATCGATGCCTCTTTTTTTTTCCCCACTTTCTGCTAAATCGTTCATTAATTTCAGGCAGCACAATACGGGTTACAAGTTCTGGATGAGAAGCAACAGTTGGAAGTGAAGTTTTCGCTGCTGCAGGCGCAGTATGATACAGCAAAGGCTGAAGCTGAAGCAACAAAGAAGGTTGTTTTTTTTTTTAATTTTTTTTTTGTGGAAAACCACCTGAACAATCCAAAATTGCTTGAGAAATAGTAAATCGCTTAAGATGGCGAAAGGAAGGCGTAAAAAATTCTATTATTCAAGCTTAACCATGACAAAAGTTGGAAAAAGAGGCCGACTTTTCCGTGAATTTTTAAGAGTAGCGCCTTTCTCGTACAGATGTTGTGCACCTAGGTGCGCATACAGCGGAAATCTTTCATTTCCAGCACAGAAAACTTGGATCAGTCGCAATTCATAATCTAGTTCCTCAACTGTACAGCTTAATATCCCTCACTGCGCTATGTTTTTCCAAAAAAAAAAAAATTCCAGGCACTGGCACAATTCCAGTCACAGCAAAAATCGGTTGCGAAGTCGGACATTGATCATGAAGAAAGCTTGCTGGAGGAATCCATGAACCGAGAGCAGGAGTATCTCTCGAAAATTGCGGTCCTGGAAATTGATCTGAAAAATTCCCAAAATGTAAAAATTTTTTCTTTTTCTAATAATGAGCTTTATGTTTATATATCAACTGGGCTAATGAACGAGCAAGAAATGGAGGTACTATGCGTAGTTACGATTCCAGAGGCATCAGAGCACTGAATCCAGAATTTGCTGGGAAAAAAAAA